TGTTTTTGGACACAGGCATGCACCAAAACGAGTGTTTTAAACCTCCCTTGCGCACTTACGTGTCAACGGCATAGGACAACGCAATCCTACCTTCCTGATATTTACAAATGACTCCAAATGAACGACTTTCTTCTTGCTCCATGATTCTTTTGCATGACTTAAGTTTAAAGTCAATCATGTTCCCTCTATCTCTGTTATTGTAATTCTGACTTTCCTACAACTGACACATTGCTTCGATGTTGCACAGCTCCAGTCTGTTCACAATTCGCAGTTTGTGGCATACTGACTGCTGCGATGTCCCCGATAGCGTCAAATGGCTAAACCAGTTGTCCTCACACATAATCCCTACGATCTTCCTCGATCTGCTACCCCACATTTCGTGCACTGGTGCTTTTATGAAAATTATGCGTCCTGCCACTACAAATGGTGAACTCAAGATTCATCGTTGCTTGCATACATGCCGATTTTTTTTCTGCGACTTGAATGCCACTCAACCTGTTTCAACCACGCATGGGGTTAACGGTAGCCCCATGTTCTTAAAAACGGACCTTCTGCCCAGCGCAAGATGCTCATCAATGCCCGAGCCGGGTCGTCAGCACGGATGTGTCCCTCGCACGCTCTTACATGCATGCTGTGAAAATCTCAAGCTCTTACTGCCATCTGTTAACCTACATAAGGGTCACCAAGCAGACAATGACAAACAGATAGACATGCAAACGGACGCGCATCTCCGAAGGTCTCATATCATTTTCTAAAATTACATTGTATACAAACCTTGTTTTAATAAAGAGCCAGAACTGAAATACTGTGCACTTTCATAGTGTAGCTGATCTCGTTTTGCAGTCCGGAGTCTTAACCCTTTTTAACAAATAGGATTTAGCGCTAACTAGCTGAAAGAAGGGAAAACGAATCATGTGTGAAACTGTCGGAACGTCAGCAGTCAGCGAAATGCACATATTTTGTTTTCATGTTTACCGGAGTTCGACTGGTCCAAATCCCCTCCCCAGTGATATGCTGTTCAAATATTCACTGTTACGAAGCTCCAAACTTGTAATTCGTTGCTTCACCTGCAAATGAACGTATCAGGACCCTTTGTAGTAGCCCCTGAGGTTCAGGATATCCTGAAACTAAAGGTTATGATACCCTGAGATGAGGGTTTTGTCACCGCTTCGCCAAAGAGTTTCACCCAGGATTTCGTCAGTGTAGAGGGAAAGCAATTGTGGTGCCCCTTGAAAATGAATGTGTCGGGGCCCTTTGAACGGCCCGCTTAGACTCGATGTCTCTAAAACAAATGTTTTGGTTCCCCGAAGTAAAGAATTTAGCGCCACCACGCCGAGGGGGACTATCGACGATTTCATTAAAAGACCGGTTTGAAAATCGCGACTTTCCCTGGAATTTGTTAATTCTGAAAATGAAGGTTTTTGGGACGTTTTGTGATATCTTCTGGAGCTCATCGCCTCTGGAAGAGAAAGGTTGTGATGATGTGATGTGAAAATTTTTGGTGGCATGTCGCTGAACGTTGAAGAAGGGGCCAAGCCGGAATATCTTCAGGGTGGGAGGCACAGCATTGTTGTGCCCCTGGAGTTTGGTGCCTTTCGAGGACGAAAGTTTAGGTCCCTTTGTGGTGCCCTCTGGAATCGGGTGCCTGATGAAATAAAGTACGTAGTGCCAAGAAATGATGTCTTTGGTGCTTCTTCGTCAAATGGGCCGATCCAGAATATCGTCAAATGGACACAGCACGGACATCGTGGTGCCACCGGAATTCTGCGTCTCTCGAAAATAAAGATTTGAGGCCCTTTGCTGTGCCTCGAACTTTGGTGCCGCCTGCAAATGAAATATATGTTGTCCCAAAGTAAGGGTTTCACTGCTTCTTTGCCATGAGATTTTGGTGCCTGTTTGGGGTACTAAAATCTCATGAGTGGCCTAAGGGGCAGAGCCTCTCGCCCCCCCCCCCCTCCCTCTCTGGAACCGTCTCTTTCTGCACAACATGCTTTGATAAGCGGAAGGACGAGACAATGAAGATTCCAAAGGTCTGGAGCACTGCCATCACACCATTCGACGAATTAGCTTGTTGACCCCCAGTGGCTTGTACTGCTGGGAGGCAGACTTGTGTTCAATTCAAATTTATTGCGCCTGCTCAGGAGCGGCTCACAGGTTTTGAGATCTGATTGAGCTCATGACTCATGGCTGTTTTAAATTTTTTGATCCAGGTTAGCTCAGAATTATCGCTTGCAATAAATCATTTGGCTCATGACTTACTCGGCTTGCGAAACAAAAGAAGCAGATTGATTTGTGAGCCATATAACACGCATATATATATATATATATATATATATATATATAAGTATATATCTGCATATGTATGTATAGGCATATATCATGATACCACAAATTAGTTCAAATGGCCTAGTAGCAAGTTTAAATTTGAGCCTAGCAAAGGTTGTACAGTAAACCATGGCTTTCCTGTAATCTGTCACCAACAGCTCTCTCAACTCTGAGCTCTCGACTAGTACATTCCTCTTGGCACCTATGACCCAGACCCATTAGTTATGAAACACGCAACGTAGACCAGCCTGCACTAAATCTGATAGCTGGCAGTCTGCACCTGCCAAGTGCCAGCCAAGTGAACTCGCACGCACGTAGCCACATCTGCACTAGCCAGCACGGACCATGACGCCGGCGATGTCATGTCAGCGATTCGACATCGGACTGGACTTCTTGCAAGGTTGGTTGATACTAAGGTACCGGGTATGTGGTTCAATTCAAAGATGGCGACTGGTCAGGACTGATGAGAATTGAGAGGTGATGAGGGATGGGGAAACGATGAGGACTGGCAGGGGCCGGGAATCAAAGACAAAAGGGTAGGGTTCCCACTCACCGCACGGTGCCCTTAGTTCTAGGGCATTTTAGCTCGATGCTTTGCACCCTAAATGTAGTTAAAAATGGAATTATTTACCTATTTTAAAATTGGAAATGGCTATTGATGTAATACCAGGAAGTCATATTCCACGACACTCAATCCGCACATGAGACGAGACGATTATCCCGCTATTGTTGCTTATTTCATATAGCCTCGGCTATAGCATGCTTCCAGCAGTTCAAAGGGTGGATGAGGGGTCAGGTATGAAAGAGTTCGTTGTTGTGGCAATTGGCAATGCAAAATGTTAACAGTCTTCGGATTTTATGCGTAGTGGACAATCTGTAACTGATTTTAGCGCAATATATATATATAAATTCATGATGTCTGTACCTTGTAATATCCTCTGGTTCCTGGTTCAGGTTTGGCAAACTTTAGATCAGGATCAACAACATTGCGCTTACTGCATAACAATTGCAATAACAAAATATGTTCTGATTTTACAAAATCGTCGTACCTGATGCTCCATGCTCCATTTAACCACCCTGAAAAGGTCTGTTAATTTGTTCAAGGGCATGCTGTGCTTCCCCATACTACACTTTTAATTTGAACCTTTTGACTCACTTCGGTCAAAGCGGCATTTTTCCTAACGGGCCGACTCAGCTCTCGGCTCACTCAAAAACGATTGGCTTGTGAGCCAATTCACGCTTCAGCTCGAGTCGAACGATAGTCCGCTGGGAGAAACCCAACAACTACTCAAAGTCGTTGCCTCCCGCGGCCTCCTGGAGCGGCCTCGCAGCAGCACCGTTTGTGGACACGTGCGGCGTCCACTACGACTTTGAGGTGCTGTTGCAAAATAGCAGCATTGTACATGATATCTTCAGAAGTTGTGATGGGTATACGAGGCAGCATTAATAAGATACGAACGCCCATCACCTGATCTACAAATTGTCCCATCGCTGAAATACCGCACAGAATTCAAGCGTTCAAAATAACATCGCTCATGATCAAAACTACATGCGTCTTATGTGGGACGCACTCACAAACCTTGTAAGTGTAGGCATGTATGTGATCTTGAACATATTTGCTCACTTATATTAATAAGAATGTCTACATACTAAACCTTCACATGAACGTAGTCTTTTTTCTTGAAATATCTGCAGCATCAAGTATGCTAGATGAGCTAAAAATCGCAAAAGGGCTCACGACATGGCCACGAAACAAAGTGGCCGAGGTCCGAGGAGACATGCGGCTGGTAAATGGGATGGCTGAGATTCATGGGTAAGGGAATGAGATTTGGAAGATACTATGTATACATCTTGAGTTCGGAGTTCTTGGGCTGAGTTATCGACCTTAGGAATTGGTTATTAGAGGTATTGGTTAAACGACACGATAGAGAAAGCATCGGTTATATGCCCAAGTCAGTGTACTAGCCCCTGAGATATGGGAAGAATTGAATATTACCACAGCGATTCCCGGCGGAACTAAAGGTGGTATAGCCCTCTTCCCGTGGATCCCGTTCAAGTACTGGCGTTTAGGTCGGCGTCAGGTCAGTGTCTTGGCAGCTCGAAACACGACATGTACGATTCGCAGCTGTTGGCGCGGTGCATGTGAATGGGCTGGACTCTGGAGTTCAGTGCTCATATCAGACTCAAAAATGTGGGTGCCTTCTATGGACTGTGAGGCGGCCCGAGTGCGCCAGGCCAGGATGATATGCCACGCCGTAAAGGTTGTACCTCCAGTCTCCTGTTACAGCAGAGTATGGTGACAGGTCCTGGCGGGGAAGCCAACAATCTCTATTCTGATGCAGCTGCAGTAAGAACCGTTTTAGGTGCACTACGAAGATGCGTGGTAACCTATGAATCATGAAGTTCTTATAGCACCTTTGGCGCTTCTGGCACATGAGCGCGTCGGTTTTTCTCCTCCGCCAAGCACCTCTTTTTTATAAAAATGTCCAAGCAGCCTTGCAAGCGTACCTGGCCCGTCATAGGTGGGATCGGCAGGCTCTCGTCCCAGAACGGACCAGCAGCCGGCGTGCGGTGCTCACCTGCAGAACACCAGACGGCGCGCGGTACTCACCTGCATAACACCAGACGGCGTGCGGTGCTCACCTGCCGAGCACCAGACGGCGTGCAGTACTCACCTGCAGAACACCAGACGGCGCGCGGTACTCACCTGCAGAACACCAGACGTCGTGCGGTACTCATCGGCAGAACACCAGACGGCGCGCGGTACCCACCTGCAGAACACCAGACGGCGCGCGGTACTCACCTGCAGAACACCAGACGGCGCGCGGTACTCACCTGCAGAACACCAGACGTCGCGCGGTACTCACCTGCAGAACACCAGACGTCTGCGCGTACTCACCTGCAGAGCACCAGCCGGCGTGCGCTGCTCACCTGCCCAGCACCAGACGGCGCGCGGTACTCACCTGCAGAACACCAGACGGCGCGCGGTACTCACCTGCAGAACACCAGACGGCGTGCGGTACTCACCGGCAGAGCACCAGACGGTGCGCGGTACTCACCTGCAGAACACCAGACGGCGCGCGGTACTCACCTGCCGAACACCAGACGGCGCGCGGTACTCACCTGCAGAACACCAGACGGCGCGCGGTACTCACCGGCAGAACACCAGACGACGCGCGGTACTCACCGGCAGAACACCAGACGGCGTGCGGTACTCACGGGCAGAACACCAGACGGCGTGCGGTACTCACCTGCAGAACGCCAGATGGTGCGCGGTACTCACCGGCAGAGGGCCGCGCTCGGAGGTGGCCGCACAGCAGCCGAGCCTGTCGCAGCAGCATGGCCAGCCGTCGGGCGCTGTCGGGCTGCGGGTCGTGCGACGCCGCTGCCGCTGCTGACTGCGGTCACCCGCGGCGCGTGGTCGCAGGTCGACACGGCGCGCTCGGACCGGCCGCGTGATTCGGCGCCGGTGCGGCCCGTCTCGCCGGCCGGCGGCGGCCGCGGCACCGGTAATTGAGTGGCAGTCGCTGGCGCACGCCATCCGACGCCGTCGGCCGGTGATCAGCGCTCTTCAGCGCGCGCCGCAACACAGCAGGCGTGGCTCCAGCTCGTGATGAGTAATCAGGTCGTAACGAGCCGGCATGGACGGAAATCACAGACGTCGTAGGAGTGCGGCCCCGACCGGCCACCGCACGCAGAGGTAAATTGGATCTGCCGAAACCGGCGTTTTCGCACTCGCACGCAAGGACCTCGCGAAGAGAAGCAGTCCATATATTGTGTTCTGAGGTTTTTGTGGCGTCGATTTTATAGTTTGCTATTTTTGTGTTTTTTCTTCGCTAATGACACGTTCAGGAGAAGGGAGGTGAAACCGTAGCGCAATGGCACTCGTGTGTCCCCACACGACAGTGACTGGTTTACTCTGTTTGCAATGCTTGTTCCCCAGATTGCCTGCCCCCTCCAACTTTCATATCTTAATGGCGTCTCTGGCTCCGTCGTTTACTTAGGTTATGAATCAGCTCGAAAAGCAGAGACAATGTGCTATATGTCGCATTTGTTGTTTATTTTCCGCGACGGCATTACGTCTACATTGTCGCCTTACAGGAACAAGAGCTTGGACGTGGTTTTTGCCAGCGGAGAGATCCCCCACAATTTACCTTTGGTCAATAGCTTAGCCATGTTTTGATTGGTCATAAAGCTGCAGCACTTGTTTTAGAAAATCGGCTTCCTAATTTTCTGAAATTAAGCAAAAATTAAGTAGAATTTTCGAAGAAAAGCGAGCCGCTTTAGTCTTACTCCGTGTGGGTCTGATGAAACAGTTTTAACTTTCAACACTTAACTTGGTGGCCGGTGACCGGTGTTCCTGACAAAAGCCTCGCGATGCTGTCACGTGGGGTAAAGCAGAGTAAGCCAGTCGTTACCGACCCTGGCCTATTTTTGGTTGGAACTCTCTGTTTTGTTCATCGTGCTCTCAAAGTTCCACGCATTCTGGGATAATTATCACTTTGTATTCATGCTTTGGGCACGCCCGCCATACGAGACGACTTTACACGAGAATATCACGGTGTATATTCGAGTGTCCTTTATGGGAGGCAGCAGATTAGAAATGCAATGAAGCTCTTCAAGCTGCGTATGGGACAGAAAATGTCTCGGGAAGAGGGAGCGATCCTTCCTCATTCCATTTCGTAAGAGAATATGGAGCGTTCAACCAAAGGATATTTAGCGTTACTCCCATGCAGCTCACTACCAGCAACCTGGACAATATTCCAAATGGCAGATGAGCCAGAACCAGTCCGTACATAGCACTGATAGTTCCAGGTTTCATCTCAAATCTGGCATTTATCGCGCAATACCAAATGACTGGAAAAGGCGCAAAGGCTGCGTGGCGTGTTCGCCTCTATTTACCTCTGCAATAGGGCAAAGAAACAGAAAGTTGGAAAGTGCTAGGTGAACTGTTAAAGGCTGCAGCACACCTTCAGCTGACAGTGTACATGATTTGACGCCCACCTGAAGGGCTCAGGTATCGGCGCCTGCGTGCTGTGCTGCGTGCTTCATACGAACGAAGCGCTGCCGGCTTCAGGCGTCGCGGTCGGTGCCTAGCACTGTGTAGACCGAACGCGCCCCGTGTGAAGGGACGATAGCAACGGCCCTGTAGTGGACCAGTGGATCCAGATAATCTTCAAGGATAGGTCATCCAAGGTCGTGAAGATCTGACTCGATAAATGGCCGTTTTAGGTCGCCGTGCTGCATTCTTTTTGCCCACGCAAAGATGTATATCTTAGTCAATTTCCCATGTTTTTGACATTTGTCATCTGAACGCGAGACTAAAGAAGCCTAACTCCGAGGAGAAATCGAAATGTGGGGGCATGTTGACTGAAACTATGTTTACGAACTGCCGCATCGTTGGGAGTACTCCTCCCTCCCCCCCCCCCCCTACACACCGAAAGTTCCCTTCAAATTCCTCCTACCAGTCCCTCATGTCGAAGCACAGTAATGAAATATAGCAATTCTACATTCAGGGCCAGGACCGACTGCTTTCAAAAGGAGTTCTTACAAAGCGGTGCGAGAACTGCATATTCGTCGGCTTGCCGCTTTGATATAGCGACGGTGGATACTGCTGCTCCATAAGTGATGTTTAAGCCCAGTATTGCATTGGGATGCATTTTTACGTGGCATTTTGTTATAAGTCACCGTTCGATACTGCGTGGGAGCAACGCCTGCTTGTGGTCTAAATGAGGAAACCTGATTTACTCATGAGACAGAGAAGCACTATCAGGCAGGCCCAAGCACATTCTCTTTGTCTTATGAATCATTTACGACTCATAAGGCAGAGAAATTCAGTGTAAGAGTGAGAACGTGAGAGCGAATTATGTAGGTCTATGACAGCTGTGATGGACGTGACGTGTTATTGCATATGACGTCACCATGTTTTTCTTTCAGGAAAACGTCCATGTCCCGACCCATACACATCTATCAGGGAGGGTGACATGGTTGTGTCATATAACCGTTCGCAAATTTTGTCCGATTCTTCCGACCAGGAAACAAATCCAGCCAACTATTGCGCTGCGATTGGTGTTTGTGACGGTCTTTTTCCCTAAACATGTATATTATGTTTACGCTGTGCGATTCCGTAGAAAATGATGGACTCTAGACTCGAGTATCGAGTTCAATTTCTTAGGGCTCAGCCATGCACTCGGACCTTGACTTAACAGCTAATGAACCAGACTAAGACAGAGACTCATGAGCCGAGAGAATGACTGCATTTACATTTGCCGGCGGAGTAGCGCAATGTGACAACTGATTGGGAAGACTCGAGATTCGCACTCCGGCTCAAAACACCAGAACTCAGACTCTAATTCTGACGCATGAAATGTGCCGAATGTGAGCTCGGCAGTCTACGAGAGCGCTCAGACTTGGGCTCAGGCTAAGGCCGTGGGGCTCAGGTTCTTACGATCAGACGCATGCGCAGTACGCTGCCCAGTGAATCATCTGGAGCGTGAGCTTGAGTTCGATCAAACGAGCCGGCCGGCGGTCGCGGCGGTTGTTTGCGTTGCTTAGCAACCCGGTTGGGCTTCGGGCCAAATCGTGTTGTAAACAAACGAAACCAGCTGCCAGTCTGCGGATGGAGTGCGCGTTGGGGGGTTGCACACATTTGAATCATTTAATACTCGTTATTCATAGGCATTCTGTGTAATATTCCAGTAGTGTTGCGGCAAGGGCGGCTGAAGCAAAAATTTTAGCCTACGACATCCATATCGAGACATGGGTATGCCGACGTAGGGGTGCGAGATACCTACTGACAAGTATTTCGGGAAGTGCTTTTAGGATTTTACGAACCTTTGATAAGTGGGGGCGACGTTTGTATTTTCGGGAGCAGCATGGAGGCCGATGAGGTGAGTTTAACCTATTTTCCTCGGGTAAAGATCACTCAAAATCTATGCAGTAAATTTCACCGTCCCTGTAACATAAGTCATTTAAAAACTTGGCATTCCCGTATGTCTGGGTCAGTTTTACAGTCTGTGGTGATAAAACCGTAGAACCCCGTGAAAATCCAAATCTACCCGGCCAGTTAAATCGTTTCAGGGCTCAACTAACAAACGTGAATGTAAGCGTCATTTTTACACGTTTTTTCAACCATGCATTCAGGAGAAGAAGAGCTAAGTAAAAAAATGTGTGATTTGTGATGTTCAGTGGATTCAGACGGTGTTCCATGAGGCTCTCTATTAACAAGTCACCAAAACTGAATTATAAATAACCAAAATGGACACTTCTCCAAGATTGAATGAATGACAACCAAAACAGGCATTCCACCACGGTTTGGATTATAGCCACCAATATGGGCGTTTTCAGCACCGCTTAACGAAGTTGTTAACTGTAATGTGTACTTGAGTCACCAAATACATGAAGAAATTGCCTGGAAAGAATGATTTCCAACAGTCTGGCTGAAGCTCCACCAAATGGGTGAAACAAAGCCCCAAGATATGGTGGGGAGTCAATAATCTGTTTCTGAAGCTAGGGTATTTAGCCCACCAGCAAAAAAAAGACCGTCTAGATTCTTAACCAGACTGGCGTCAACTTCCGAATATTTTGGCGCGCAGACGACTTTTTCACATTGGAGTTGCGTTCTGATGGCGAGTCGATGACTAGCATTGAGTTTCGTACATACCTACACGTCCAGGGTGAAGCCAGTTAGTGAGGGGGGGGGGGCACAAGGGACATATCCTCCCGCTAGGCCCTGAGAAGTTTTTGGGACAGTCGACACAGACTACCAAGCGCCCGCTTGGAGCACGCGGAGGGCTGGCCGGTGGACGACCCCGGGGGGGGGGGAAGGCCTGACTCTCAAAGGTCAGCCAAACGGGCTCTTTGCGCTTGTCGGGGTTGCTCGGAACAACAAAGGCGTCTTTGTAGGTCCAAGACCACCAATACTGAACAGCTGCCTCTAAGTCAGCTTGGACCCTGCGGTCCCATTTACGAAGCGGGGACAAGGCCGGTGTTCGCAATTGTTACTAAAGTCCTATTGCGTTGGCCTGGGTGGGACAGTAAATGGTCCACAGTGAGACAGTAGAAAGGCCTTGGCCAGCCACGGACTCAGGCTCTCAGGCACCGGACAAGGCTCTTCAGGGTCCCTGAATTTAATTTAACTTGGTGGTTGTTAATGCCCTTCCAACCGTGATCGGAGGTTTTAGCCCTGGTGTCTGGTCGGTTTGCTATACCAGATTTTAACTGGCAGCAATGGTGATGACTCAGTCTTCTGGTGATAAACTGGCCGTTTCGGCTTGCTACTCCAGTTGATGATCAGGGCGTGTATTTTAGTGATAGAGGCGGCCATTCTGGTTGTCCAATTAATTTTGTCCCATTCCAGAGAAGGGTGGATTCGAGCATCCATATCATGAGATGCACTTAAGCCATTTTTGAGTCGGTAATGGTTGCATAAATGTCAAGTTGGGGAGATTAATATCTCCGCTGCTTAATGCTTCTTAAATTACTCAGAATTGAAACAAATTCCTTTGAGTACATTTAGCTACAAAGACCAGGTGCCGTCAGAAATCTTCATTCTATTGACTTACCAAACTGTTCAGAAATGCCAGAGGGCCCAATGAAACTCCACATGAGGCCCGGGTAGAAAACCTGGAGTAGACTCGGCCCCTGAACGTTGATATGGCCAATGCAGTCGCTGGCGCTCCATAAAATGGGAAAGTGACGTCGTCTGTCGTGAACTCTTTTAATAAAACAAATGCAATCAACTTGATGCATTCACTGTTTTAATCCACAGCAGTGAAGCATCTGTCGGGTACATCAAAGAACCATGGACAGCACGTTCACTGTAAGCCGCCCGCGGTTGTCATCAACATGCCAGGCAAAAACTTCGCCTCGTGATGTTGCCTCTGAACGATGTGGGCTGAGATTTTGACAGAGCGAGCTCTATTGGCGAAAATGATCACCCTTCAATGCATCAAGAGGTACTGGTCGAATGAAGGTATCAAGTAGTCATTGGGATATTTATAATAACGCGTAACCTTTCAAGGTCATGCTTATAGCCAGCAACTGCATTACCCTGAAACTTTTAGCATCGTCTTAATATCTCTCTGCGATTGGTTACAGTCGTCGGGTAACCAGCACCGCTTGATACCTTGAAGTTGGGTTATTTTCAGCACATTACCACATAGAGCTAAAAAGGCGTGGCCGAGGCTTTTTTTCTTTCAGCATCAAGTGTTTTTTGATAGTTCATGCCTTTTTAAAGAGGGAATACACTCAGAGCGCTGGCTGCAATGGCTTGGAACGCGAGCGCAGAAAATGACAGGTGAGGGGATAATATGATCTCTGCATGGAGATTAGACTGAGTTACCTTTTTCTGTAGAGCCATATAGGCGGTGATAGCTTTATAGAGTCGGGCCAGAATTCACATACGTGGACATAGTCTGCAGGGCGGCCTGCAGGGCAGCCAGGCTGCAAGACTTTGGACCTTATTGGGATGAAGTTCGAGGTGGCCTTGGGCATTGCGTGCCATTTCCCAAAGTTATAGGCCTTTGTCCTGCCTATCGAGGTGGGGAGTACATGTAAACACTGCGTATGGTAATGTGCATCATTTTCTTGCCAGCTTTTGCCGCCACAAACAACTTGTATGACATCCGGACGCAAGACAGGACCAGGATCGCATGATGTAACACCTATAAAACGTCTGCTATACGCGCATCAGTTATTCACGTTAAATATTTCAAATGTAAAATTTTGCGAACAGCCTGCTTAGTGTCTCCGTAATTGTTTGCAGCATTCAGGGTTTATGCTTGCAATTGTCCAATGTTCCGCGCTGTAATTGTTAGATGCTCCACGTACGCATGGAAATTTATGACTTAAGCATTAATATCACTACCACATTTGTTTTTGCATGTTTTTGTGTTTGTGTATTGACATTTTTATGACAATTGGAATCTGGACCAAAATGAAATATGAGTGTGGTGTAACTTATGACAGAAAAGCTGTCGGTGATGGTTATCAATCAAATCAAAGTTAACTGAATTCTAAAATACGGGCATCTGGGAGGACGCGAACAACGCTTGCAAGGAACAATTCAATTAGTTGTTTAGACAGACGTAAAACGTAGGCGTGTTGCATGGAAACTGTGGCAAAATGGGACGATTTTCCACAAGCTCTAAGCATACCCTTGGCGTTGTCGATGTGAGCGCCTCCGTGTGCTGGAGGTATGATGTCGATGTATGAATTATCGCTTGGACCGTCATCATATCGTAAAGGACCACTTTTTCACGCCATCTCCCCTCCACGTCTTCGTAAAAGAGGGAAAGAGCTACGTATAAACGAGATCCCTGCGGCCTCGCCGTAACTGGGATGGGTGCTGATTTCAGCGTGCTCGCACCAGTCCTCTTCTGACGGCTCTCCTCATGATTCGTAGGAAACGGTGGCCTCTGCTCAGACGGGCTCGGAGGAGGGAAGTGAGACCATTGCCGACGGGGAGGAAGAAGCTGGTGAGGAGGGGGACGAACAAACCCTGCCCGCCTCTCAGAAGACTAGCCAGATCACAGCGGGTCAGACTGACAGCACCCACGACCGAGACGATCGGGAAGGTGACGAAGATGAAGAGGATGACGAGGAATATTCGGATGAAGAGATCATGGACATCGACCTCAATTTTGAAGACATGGAGCTGGAGTTCCAGGGGGTTCGTAAATCATGTGCTTTGATTGCGTGGATGTGATGAGCATTGATTGTCACAATTGATGACAGTCAACTGACATTTGGGGAAGAGGCAGACCAGGCAAGCCTAGAATTGTTAAGTTGACTCGTTGAATGCAAGAAGGCAAGCAGTTTAATTTAAAGGGGATGCCACACTTCTGGGTGGTCTGAATTTCCCATGAGGCTTAGTTTGTTATTTTTGGTGTGATTTATGTGGCCACCACCTGCTTATGTGTCATTGCCCTTTAAGAAAGCGGCATTTACGTTTCACTGGCTTTTTAAAGGAAGTGAGCTTGAATTTTCCAACAAATGTTCTGTCGCAAAGTCATTACCTGCGAATCTTCGCACCAACCGGATTGCTGTATTTTCCGGTGGTGTGGCCAGACCCTTGCACGCATCACTCCGGCATGACTCGTGTGCCCCCCTCCCCTCCCCATCCCCAACCGGTCCTCGGTGCCGCCCACCGACAGGCCCCCTCCCTGTGCGCCAGGTGCTGGAGGAGCTATCGCAGGACCCGACACTGGCCCGCTTCCGCATGGAGTACGCCAAGCTGCACACGGCGCTGCAGCGCTCACACCACAACGAGCGTCGCCTCATGGACAAATGTCGCGAGCTGCAGGCCGAGATCGCCTCGCACTCGGCCGAGGTGGCCACCGCGCTCAAGCTCGCCTCCGAGGACAAGCAGACCATCGATGCCCTCAAGAGGGTAAGAGGCCAGGCCCCAACGCCACGGATTTGGGGTGGGAATGTCATAACAGCGCCGTCGGTGCGCTTTGAGGTGGTGGCAGCGTAACCAGAAACGCGGCCAGTAAAGTTGATTTACTTTTGACGATGTGGATGGTTCACGTGTACAATTAGTTCTTTCTCAGAAAGATGCAACGTCTTGCCCTCTTGCATCATCGTAGGGCAGCTGCTCCCAAACGCGCGTTATTCGTGCTGGAGGTATTGCTTACGGCGACACTGAGCACACATTGTGCCGTAAGACGAGGGGGACTTTGCAACTGCGGTCGCTTGCATGGGCGTGAAAGAAGCCGGAATCCGGGGGAGCCATGGTCGTGTTCGCCTCCGATTAAGCTAAGCCCCATAGGGATGCTCAAGAGGACCTGCCATTAAAAGGGGATTTCTCCATGACCTGTTTAAGATCTTAAGCCCTTGGCTTCTTGAAGGAACTGTGGTCAGTGGTGGTCACTTGCAACCAATGCATCAGTACAACGTTGCTCTCGCTACCGACTCGGCGGGCTGGATTACCAAGGTTTGTGGATGAGAGCGTGGCATAGTACAGCGTAGCGCGAACTGTTATGACGGGAGATGTTGCCTTTCTGCTCGAATGGTTCCGTTTATCCTGTGTAATAGAACGCATGCCATAATGGGCTGCTCCATTCATCGCTGAGCTTATTTCATATTTAACCCGAACATTTCGTGTAAACAAAAGCCTATCGCCTCGTCAGTTTGCTTACACCACTTTGCCGAAAGCCTGCGGTCGCGCTATGAAGCAATGACGTGAAGTCTACCGGGACGAGTAGATGGCAGTCGTAGCTTATGCGACATGTCAAAACTTTGCTAACCCGGACCACGCCCCTCAACAGGCATGTTTTTGCTCTCAGATCCCTTCGCCACTCGCAAGTATTACCAACAGCTAACCTGAACCCCCAGGAGGTAGAAAAGGCGTGGAAGATGGTGGATCTCGCCCACGAGCGCGAGCAGGAGTCCAAGGAGACGATGGAGGCGCTGCAGACCGAGATCACCCGGCTGCACGAGGTGGCCGGCCAGGGCGACGAGGCGGCCGCCGGCAAACAGGACGCGTGAGAACCCCTCGTGGTCACCACTGTGCTCTGTAGCTGTCACTTTGGTGGTAGTCTCTCTCCCCTCCCGTTGCCTGCCTGTACACAGATAGTTTGGAGTTTATCCCGTAAAGCGCAAAAGCGCAGTAACTCACACTAACAACAGTCCCTTAACAGTAACTCACTCACTAACAGTAACAGTCCCTTTCTGATAAAGTGAAAATATTTGACAACATAGAGATGCGTAATGAGAGGTAAGCACAGTGTTAGCTCCTTCTCAGACGCCTCGTGGTTTTGTTACTCATCTTATACGCCATGGTCACGCTTGTGACGAACGCTCCGTCCGTCGAAGTGCCGTATCTGACTGGTTTACTCTCCGTTAATGCTACACGTATGGCGGATATCCTCTCCGTCGCAGTGACGCATTGGGCTGACTTGCTGTTCGTCAATGGCACTTGTGTGACGGACACCTCCGTCACAGTGGCGTGTCGATTTACTCTCCATCAGTGACACGTGTGTGACGGACACCTCCGTCACAGTGGTGTGTTGGCTTACTCTCCATCAATGGCACGTGTGTGACGGACACCTCCGTCACAGTGGCGTGTTGACTTGCTCTTCATCAGTGGCACGTGTGTGGCGGACACCTCTGTCACAGCGGTGTGTCGAATTACTCTCCATCAATGACACGTGTGTGACGAACATCTTCTCTGTCGCAGTGGCCTTTTGGCTTGCCCTCTGTCAGTGGCACGTGTGTGACGTACACCTTCTCCGCCACAGTGGAGTGGTGACTATCTTTCCATCAGTGACACGTGTGTGACGGACACCTTCTCTGTCACAATGGAGTGGTGACCATCTCTCCATCAGTGACAAGTGTGTGACGGACACCTTCTCCGTCACAGCGGCGTGGAGACTTACTCTCCATCAGTGACACGTGTGTGACGGACACCTTCTCCGTCACAGTGCCGTGTTGGCTTACTCTCCATTTTTGACATGTGTGTGACGGACGCTGCCCGCGTCTGCCAGGGTAGCGGAGCTGATCAGCGCCCGGGACGACCTGCTGAAGGAGCGGGACGGCCTGCTGCAGGACGTTACCCAGCTGAGAACGCAGCTGGACGAGGCCTCGGCCAAACAGGAGGCCGTCGAGAAACTCCATCAGGAGGCTGAGGCCAAGTTGGAAGCCATGACCCAGGAGATGCAGGTTGGGCATGGCCGTTGGCCGCGAAATGACGCCGCTGCCACTAGGGCATAGTACACCATTAGGGCACCGTGTTGTACATTGATTTGATATTGGGGACTGCAGTGTAGTGTGCAGGCGTTGTTATGATGTGTTTTATGCTGGCTTGCAACGAATATTTACTGCCTATAGTTCTGCACACCCTTAGGCGATCTTGCTCCGTGAAATTATATGCAATCAGTCACCGTTACCGTGCTTTTATCAAAACGTTTGTTTGCGTATAGATAGATGGCTTTTTAGCACTAAAAGAAGTTGACCTGTCTGCTGCTGAAGACTTATGAACTTGTAGATCAGTGAAGATCAGAAAAAGTCTACCTGGGGGCACGAATTCTGGGCGCTCGATGTCATCAGATGGGTAGAGAGGGAAGAGTAAAGGGAAACAAGGAAGGCGTCGCGCTTCCGCATGCCTGCTGCCGCCGGCGCTGGACTGGCGGCTCAAAACTTTGCCACTAGTTTGGCGCCGGCGGCGCCCTTCTTATAAGGAAGCACCGTTCAATGGTTAATATCGTCATTGATACTGCCATTGACAACTGGCCCACGCTGCCTTGCACCATTTAACTGCGCGCCACCTGGTGGTACTTCACCCAGCCACCACGTCGCCGGCAGATGGCACTGCCGGCGCCACACTGGCGGGAACATAATTGAACCGCCAGTCCAGCGCCTGCAGTAGGTGGTTACGGTAGTGTATCACGTGCTTTTTCCTTCCCTTTTCTTCTCTCTGTGCCCACATGCTGATGGTGAACACCGAAAATTTGCGCCCCATAACTAGACTTCTTCTGATCTTTATTCATCCGCCAGCCGTCATGTCATCAGCAACAAATAGGTTAGCTTATTTAGGGCTCGAAGTTTATCTAGCTACTCATAAGCATAATCACCTACATCAATGTGGTGGCGCCAAAACTTCAACACGCTTCTTTCCTCAACCAAACTGATAAGGATTTTTGGCCGCAGGAAGTATTGGCACGACATAAATCTTCGTTCTCAAGTTTCAGAACCAGGGAAGGTGGTCTATGCCACGGGTGTGTTTTCAGGGTTGGCTCGCAAATGAGAAGACGCCAGCGAACAGTGTGCACCTTAACCTCCTTAACAGTGCATTCCTGTTTATGCCACAGGTTCAACGGGGTGATATGCAACGCGAGATCAGACGAAAAGATCGTGCAGAGCGAGATCTTAGGAACGCCAAGTCCGATATAGACGCAAAGGAGGCTGAGATGAAGTGCGTTATTTTCAGCAGCAGCATTCAAATACGTCCATTTTATCGTATTTTGATCTCCGGGATTACTGGCACTGGCGAATATGGATGTTGTCCTTGTGACTTTTTGGCCTTGCAACGGAGCCTTTTACGTTGTCCGCGTCAACTGAAAATGTAGACGTAAGGATAATAAGCATTGTGGGACAGACTGACGGTTTTCCGCGGGCTCATATCTCATCACTCCGATTGGATGATTACAGGATTGTACAGGGCCAACTTGAACAGTACCAGGAGCAGTTGAGCAGATCTGAAGTGGTTCTGAAGGAGCAAAAGGTGGGTGCCTCGCCTATCGTCCATCTCGGTATCCGCACAAGTTACCGAAATGAATCTCGCCGAATATCTTTGCCGCATGCATTTCATCCAACGTGAATTCGTCGGAGATAGAATATTTATCTGTATCATGTCTTTATGGTGTTACAGTGGCACTACCCAATGCTATTACTAGACTAGATGGCTCTGAGGCTTTACTAGAATATGATTGGAAATATGCCCCAAAGGTGGGACACTCCCTTTAAAAGGCTGTGCCCGTCCCAAAACCCCTGCCAGGGCTCTGCCCCTGCGCCAGGGGATGTGTCCAGAGCGAAGGTATCAGAACCAAAGATGCATGCTTGACCCAGCTCCATTTCCAGTCGTTGCTTTCCCCACCAGGCGCTTATTCAGCTCTGTCCACTTCCACTGTGAGTGGCGCGTTCTTGTCCAGTCCTGCCAAGGAGACGAAGTCGGTCTTGCGGCCTGTAATATCGCCTGATTCTTGTCACCTACCACCTACTACCTACACCTACTTCTACCTACTTCACCTACTTCTCAATACCCATAATCGAAATGGGCGTTAATACGCTAATACCCTTGTCCTTACAGTCTTAATGTAGAATTGTTCTCGATACGGTCATCATTCTATGCTATCTTGATTCTGCATGACTCCTTTCCTATATGATTTTCGTGCTGTCATTTTGTTATGTACGATCTTTTGCCATGCCCTTTATATTCGTACGATGTGTTCATAACACGACGTACTATTAGGAATTTGCGGTTTTTAACCCTCCCACATTTTGCTTTGCAGTGTTTTTTTGTGGTATTTTGCTTACGACCTTTTGCGACACGATATTTTGTCATGGATGGTGTGAGGCCTATGGCTGTCAGGATGAAGTTGCCATACGATCTTTTGCCGCAAATGTTTTTCCCGGCTACGGACTATCCCAACGAATGACGCCGTAGAGGTTCTTTAGAATTGCTGGCCATTCAGTTTAACTCAAACCTAGTCAGAGTCTTCTTAAATTCTAACCACATGGCTTGAAGCCACTCACCCGGCTTGAGGCCAACGTTATCCAATGGTACTAACGTTGTCGCTTCAGACTTTGAACGAGAAGCCATCAAGGAGACGGAGGTGATGACTTCACGCTGCCAGAAACTACAGCAAGACTACGAAGCACAGCTGATCACTGTCGATCAACTTGCGCAAGAAAACCAGCACAAAGTTTCAGAACTGAAGGTAAAGTTAGGCGCTTTCTGCGTTAGGGCTAAGGGGGCTCATACATCCCCCTGCTGTAATTAAAGGGAGCGTTCCACAGTTGTATGGGTTTAAACTGAGCTAGCCATTTTGAAGATCGTCCGGTGCAGTTCACAACCCTGCCCTTCCTTAAGACCTAAAACCCTCTGTTTTTAGCTACACGCACGTGAAGATGTGCAGGACTATTTTGTGCAGGCTTTCAAGGCCATTCGGGATTGCATGACGTCATAGTAATGTCATTCAAACTCTGTCGCCCCATAGGCCCTGACGCGTTCAAGGCCAAGAATAGTAGTATCGTGGAGACGTCTGATCTGATCTGACGTCCCCGAGCGTGATTTACAACTATTATGACCGTCAGTTATCTCTCCATTAATATTTAGCAATTTCAACAAGTTTCAATCACGGAATCCGTTTTGTGCTACATAATAGGAGTTGAACACTATTGCTCGATATTGCTATCACTTGATTTGTAATTGGATAACTTCAAAAAGGTGTGATACCTAGCAGGTAAATACAAGTAAGCTTTTTAAATTAATTCATAGATATGCATGACCACCATAACAAATGATCAAAACACGAGCAAAACGATATCAGGCTCAACGAACACTTTCAGTACCGTGGTGCCATCTGTAGGTGAAATTGAAGAACTGCGGTTGAAAGCCAGGGGTGCAGTTTCGCACGGTTAGTCCGGGAACACTTCAGGGTCACACGAACATCCCACGACGCAATCCCGCAATCAAACAATGACGTGTTGAGGCGCACATTTACTAAATAGGGATGTGTATGTCGTCTAGATCCGTCTTTTCCACTATATACGCGTACCAATATAAATATTTCATCATATATAGGTGTGATTATTTCATCATATTTGATGCTTGCTGCAACATCTTCAAACGTGAAAGTTCCCTTTGACACAAACCGCATTAAATCCAAGCGAAAAGCATCCCTTTGTTCAAAATTGTGTTTGCATAAGGGTCATTAAACAAGGTCATGGCGACATTTCACAATTCATTATATATATATATATATATATATATATATATATATATATATATATATATAACAGATAAAACATGACAACCATGAGTGCAGGCTGTCGGCTGAGCCGGCCAATCTGCGGCAGGCTCGCGACGAGGAGATGGCCGCGCTTCGCCAGGACGTGTCGCGCCTGATGAAGCTGCGCGACAGCCTGCAGCGCAAGCTGCGGACCACCGAGGAGCAGAAGGCGGGCGTGCAGGCTGACCAGGAGGCCGTCACGGTCGCGCTGCATCGGCTGGAGCGCGACCTGGAGACCAACGCCCGCCAGATGGAGGCCGACAAGAAGGCCATGGATGACCTGCGGTACGAGCGTGAACTGCTCAAGAAGGGTCTGCTCAAAGCGCAAGGTACGTGTGTGTGTGTGTGTGTGTGTGTGTGTGTGTGTGTGTGTGTGTGTGTGTGTGTGTGTGTGTGTGTGTGTGTGTGTGTGTGTGTGTGTGTGTGTGTGTGTGTGTGTGTGTGTGTGTGCGTGTGCGTGTGCGTGTGCGTGTGCGTGTGCGTGTGCGTGTGCGTGCGTGTGTGCGTGTGCGTGTGTGTGTGTGCGTGTGTGTGTGTTGCGTGCGTGCGTGCGTGCGCGCGTGTGTGTGTATGGCGGGCTTTTGTCTGCAACTTTCTGTTTTCAGTTGCGGCTCTTGCGCGTAACAGCACTGCATCATGGACATGATGCAGTTGAGTGCACTATTATGTAGCATCAGCAAGCATCAAGTGAGCCTGTCATCCCCTTGCAAGAGGACGCCGACCGTCTGTTCACACAGTAGATCCGTGCTCTGCATATCTGACCCTGGACACATGCGTGCGTTTCAGACGTTTCCCTGAAGCAGCAAAACCTTATGAAGCTTCACGATCAGGCAAGGAAGACGCTCGAGGCGGAGACAAGCGCCTTGAAACGGTCATCCACGAAGCAGAAGTTTGTCATTTCCCAACTGGAAAAGGAGCGCGACAAGTAAGTGGCTTATCAGCTCATGCATTGACCCCCTACAGGGCCGATAGTCATACAAACCACAGTTTGGACATCGCACAGCAGGTACGCCTGATCGGTGTGACGGCACATCCGTTCATCGTTGGGGCGGCAATGTTGTAGGCGGATGGTTTTTGCTAGTGAACCATAACCTTTTTTATTGCTCGTCTCCGTTTCTGCACCGGGTACCGACCTGTCACCGGCGGAGGTGCACGGTGATGCGTACTAACCCTGTTAGCCGGCCGCGACCGTTGCTGTAGGTGCTGATGACGTGTGGCCCGTCACGCCACAGGTATATTTCTGAGTCGGCGGCGCTGACGCAGAAGGTGCTCGTGCTCATGGAGGAAATCAAGATTAAGGAACTGGAGATGTTCGACTACAAGAAGAAGATGTCTGAGGCCGAGTCCAAGCTAAAGCAGCAGCAGAGCTTGTACGAGGCGGTGCGGAGTGACAGGAACCTCTACAGCAAAAACCTGATTGAATCTCAGGTGAGTTGAGCCTGTCCGTGCGCCAGCTCCTGATCCGGCGGTTTGTTGACATATGCTCTTCCCGTGAATGCCTCGCTTGCGACGATCCTCCCCGATTGCATGGATTCATTCGTGTCTTTGATAATTGCCTTCATCAAGCACGTGTTCCGAGATGATTGATGGTTACATTACAGTAAGCAGTGAGCGGAGCGATGCGGTGCAGTATGTGAGGCTGCCTGGGGTTTGTCGTCAATGGCAGCCCATTTCAAGGTGGACGAGTGACCAACGCCTTCCTATCTGCCAGGATGAGGTGTTAGAAATGAACAAGAAGCTGAAAATGGTCAACCATCAAATATACCAGCTGAAGGAAGAAACGAACACACGGGAGGCATTGCTCATCAAGGAACAAAACGGTATTGATCCTGTGTGAACGCAGCTATCGTATGATTATGGGTCCATTATCATCTATCACCCGATATGGAAGTAATGTTAACATGATGTTATGTTACATTGGCTCTTCGCTTTGATATTTCGGGATCTTCTTACCAATTATACGAACGGAAAGACGCGCAACTCCTCCTAACAAGATGTACATTGTTGAAAAAGAAAGCCTGAACCGTCCATGATAGGGGCCCAAAAAATACTTGTTAAATATGTTTTATCTAACACAGTTGGCATGTTCGCCAACTGATTGCAACACAATGAGCGCAGATCGATGGCTAGTGATTTAATTATTTGTATTTCACCGCGACTTTTATTCAAAATTAACGGTCGTATTCAGGAGACAGATATGAAAGATTCATCGAGTATGAAAGTGTTTCACAAATATGAAAAAGTTCCCCAACATGGGCTCGTATTGAATTCGTGCGGGGAAATGCGGTGGTTCGTCGCCAGGGACATCATAAAAGAGCGCCAGAGGAGTAAAAATGAGGCCAAGTGAGTAGCAGACTGTAGTTGTCCGCCACAATGCTAATACATGCTCTTCTTAAAAAGTGTTCCACATTTGTACACGGTTTTGAATTGAAAAAACATATTGAACATCAGGCGGTGCAGTTCACAGTCCTATTCTCCAAAAGACCAAAGCCCCTATATTTTCTGAGCTACACGCGAAGATGGGACTACTATTGCGGGGGGATATTTCAGGGTCAGCCAGACATCATTGGCATCGTGGTGACGTTATTCAAATCCCTTTATTTCATTGACTACGCGGCAATTAAGGCTACGAAATACGATTGTCGGGTCTTATTTGGCGTTCGTGAGCATGTTTTCCAGATATTACTGTCGTCAATTACTCTCAATCAATGTTGCACAAGATACGATGACGCAATCAAACAATGACGTATTGAGGAACATATTGACTTAGGACAAAAATTGTGTCGTCTAGGGCAGTCGATTGCACTCAAAAGTACACGCAAAAGTGATGCCATATTATGTATGCAAGATATTATATCTGGCGCTTGCTTCATTGTCTTCAAATGTGGAGCATTCCTGTCAAATTGTGGTAGTTATATAGGGTTTGTGGACATGTGTCATGGGTGCATCCAGGTTTCAAAAGGATGCGAGTATGTGCACGTGATTTGATCGTGACCTGTTGTAGCGACCATCGTCTACTGACAATCCGCTGTTGACGGCCATGGTCCTCGTCTACTGCAATCACCTCCCATGGCACGTGTCATTGCAAAGCCTGGTTTTTGCCATTAAGTCGCGCAATGCTACATCTGTAGGAAAAGCAGTGTCTGTTTTCGTCTAACACGTGAAACCCCGCGGCTAGGAGAACTTTGAACACAAAGTTCTCAACACCTGTGTCGATCTGCGTACACAACTGTCAGATGTGCAACACATTACTCAGCTAGTTTCAGTGAAGATGAACACCTGGGGGTTGCCATCTACGCATCTGTGTTTGGCACGCCGGGGTTTTCCGAATGTTAGCGTGTGAAAACACATTCAAGTTCCGTAAGCCAAGGTCAAAACTTGTGAATAGGCGGAGGTTCGAGAGGTCTTACTGTCCTTCGCCTGATGTTGAAAGTTCTTCGGAACCAGGGCGGTAGTGCCTATGTACATAAGCGGACTTTTTTGGTCAGAGCCTGAACAACTGGCCGCCGTTATGCTGGAGAACCGGCTCTTAATATACACTTGATATTCGAATAATCCCCATTGCTGCAGAGGTGTTTCAACTTGAGACGCCTATGAAGACGTTTACAAACGCCTGTGAATCTCAGACTCGTTTGTAAGCCGAGGCTCCCTCATGCCCGGCGTTCAGTGCCGAATGGGAGCCGCTGGTGGTGGTGGGAGATGCAATGCACCCCTGACACACTCGGTGCCACCGATCTACCCAGGCCAGCGCTTGGCAGGTTTTCCGAAAGTGTCAGGGATTCAGCCAAGCCTTTAAGTATATAGGATCACTGACTAACAAGTGTAAGCGATGGCCGTTGCCTGGGCTCTGGAGGGAAGACAAGGGACCGTGAATGTCGAAATGCTCCTTATAAGCAATGACGTGCTAAATGCATTGTCCGAAATGTATGGTGCGCCCATTTGGCTCGGTTACGTGATGTCATCTTTATACATACGCGTATTTTCCTCACGTTGTTCGGGAGGGCGTGAGCACGTTTGTGACGTTCCGCTCGCTTCCAGATCTCCGCCGCGCAACTAAAGAGAAGGAGAACCTTTTGCTGGATCTGGAGGACCTACGGGCGCAGGCCGCCGCGATGAAGAAGAGGATCGCTGAGTTTGAAGCAGAGCACCTGAAACTGAACAAGGTCAGTTATGTATCACAACCTCCAGTTTAATCTCAATGATATCCTCACGTCGGCATGTGGTCGCTTTCCTGATTCGCACCATCGCCTGCAGCTATGTCCTCGGTGGGCCGGCCCCCCAGACTGAGCTGTGCTGTGGCTGGTCGCGCCGCCAGACTGACACCTGGGCGCCGTCTCCCCCTTCGCCAGGTGATTTCAGACGGCGAGGCGGAGCGAAACAAGCAGCGCAAGGACATGAACCAGGTGACGACCGAGCGCGACATCCTGGGCACGCAGCTGGTGCGGCGCAACGACGAGCTGGCGCTGCTGTACGAGAAGATCCGCATTCAGGAGAGCACGCTCAGCAAGGGCGAACAGCAGTACCGCGAGCGCATCCGCGACATCGGCCTGCTCAAGCTGGAGATCAGGAAGCTGAGGTGAGGGAGCGGTGACGCGTGGGCCGGTGCTGGTGCTGGCGCTGGCTCGATGTCAGTCGGTAGCGTGTGTCAGCCGGCTGGCAACCTCGTGTTCGCTGTTTGTGTTGGTGTTCGGCAGTGGGTCATGACTTGTGTGGGTGGTGCGTGGTGTGTCTGGTATTTGGAGGGAGGGTATGGATCGGGATGCTGTGGGACGTGATGTGTGGAGTCGGGAAGCTGTTTTAGAGAGTGAGAAGTTCCGGCTATGGCATCAGTCATTGCCAATGACAGTCACGTATTTACTTTTTTCAATCCCCACAATTTGTCACACATTTTCGGCGGCATCGATTGAAAACTCATTCCTCAAAGTAAAGGGATCTTTTTGCTAGTGGCGGCTCCCTAGTGCGACGGGACTAAGCGCAGCAAGCGCCGCGTGCACCGGCTGTGGCGGCGCGACTCCGACGCTGTCCGTGCGTCCGTTGACAGACGGGAGAAGGGTCTGCTGAGCCGCAGCGTGCACAACCTGGAGGACATGCGGCGCGAGATGTACCACATGCACCGAGCGCTGCTCAAGGAGCGCTCCAAGTGCAAGTCGCTGGAGAACGAGCTGCAGAACCCGCAGAACGTGCATCGCTGGCGGCGGCTCGAGGTCAGGCGTCGCTCAGACCGCCACAAAGTGGGGGGACTGTGAAGCTCTGGCAGTGGTGTGAACCAGCAATGTAGGCTCATGGAGCAGCGGCTCTTAGCTGTTTGTGGGCGCGTGTAATGACCTGAAGTCATCTGACCTAAAGTCTTCAGAATCGCTGCCAGTCGTCCCAGAGCAAACCGAGGCGGCTGAGATTTGGCTACACCGGACATGGGGCTCATCGCTGGTCGGATGATGAGGCTATTGCTTTCTAACTTCTCGACCGCAAACCCAATTATGTAGCCGGGTTTATGCCACGTGTAAGCTAAACCATGCTCCATAAAAACGGTATCGCTCGCCGCTCGAAAAGTATTTAGTTCACATCAGAACAAGAAACCACCTGATGCGAATTCGGAGTGTAACCTCGCGGAGTGACGGTGCGTGCTCTTACTTCGTGGCAGGGGAACGACCCGAACACGTACGAGATGATACTGAAGATCCAGACACTGCAGCGGAGGCTGATCATGAAGACTGAAGATGCTACCAGGAAGGAGCTGGAGGTGCGTGCGGGCGACGGCCAGTGCTCCAGAGAGCACTGTCGCATCCCATGCTGGGGATGCTGAGAACGGCGTGATCAGTCGGAAAGTGGTCGGATTTTATTACTTTTTCAGTTACTTATGTGGTATCTGTATCAGCATACGTTGTAGTATTTATATAATCCAACTTATTGATCTTGATCAGCTGTTTCACAAACACCAACCGCGCCGCATTGTCCAAATGCATTTCCTCGATCAGTAAGTCTTGTCTTTTCTTTTCTACCATTTCATGGTTATGCCTTAAAATTAAAACTCAGGTGTAGTCAAAAGGAGCGTAATGGTAGATTGCTTGAGACTTTTTAAGGGAGTTTTTGCTAGAGCTCCACATGCAGTTGGTTATGAGAGTGGCTGCTCAACAGGATGCTTTCAGATCGCTTGCAATGTTCAAAATGGGCCCCTGTACTGCTCTTGGAATGTCAAAGGTAAAGTGACCCCATCTATTGTATTAACTTTTATAGATGTTATTTTGCACCTGCTCCGTGAAATCCTTATGTTGCGTTTTGGTAAAGAAATTTGGCTGAATGTTCGTCTTACATAGGGTATAGGACCATTCTTCCAGGGTAAACCCGTTGCAAAGACGCCGACACCAGTAACATAATGCAGCAGTTTCTGTTCAGCGGACAGTTCCATTAGAACGACTCGCCCGACACTCAATGTTGTGACACGTGACACACGGTCGCCCCTGCCTGGGACTGACTGCCTTGACCAGCCGCCATTTGGTCGTCAAAGATGTGTCACGTCATGTGCCTGTCACACACTAGTCAGTGTACAGCGCCCCATGAGTCGACGTACTTGGGTGTCGACAGAGACTATGAAGCCAGCCCATGTTATTCTGGTCTTATGGTAAACGGTTACCATAATGTAATTTGCACCTTGTAGCTATTGACGGCATGCTCGAGGAACAATGACTGGCTAGGACATGTCGCGCTGTTTTCATCCCTTGGTGGTGCGCGTGTGTACCCATGCTGCTCACGCCTCCCGCCGCCGTCGGCTGTCAGATCCAAGAGAAGGAGAAGCTGTACCTGGAGCTGAAGCAGGTGCTGGCGCGTCAGCCGGGACCGGAGATGGCCGAGCAGCTCATGCTCTGCCAGGGCTCGCTCCGACAGAAGACCAGACAGATGAAGGTGGTCGCTGCGGAGCTGCAGCCAGCGCAGGGAGAGCTCCTCGCTGGGGCATGCGTGTTGTCGTACCGAGGCCTGGTTGTTAGGGACGTAGGCGTTGTCGAGGTCGGCGGTCGCTACCCGTTTTGTGTTGTGCTTTTTGTATGGCGTGTGAGTAACTCGGAAACGTTACAAGATACGGTCGCACTGTTCTGTGTAAATGGTGTTGCAGCACAGGAGAACATGTACTTAATTGTGACGACACGTACTTATGCGACCTAACGTATTTTCAGAGCCTTGTTTCTGAGCTTAATATGTACGAATCCCAGATGCAAGAGTACAAGTTAGACGTGGATAGGTTGACCGAGGATCTCAAAGAAGTGAAGAAACGTTACATCACACAGGTAAGCGCGACATAAATGTCATGGAGTGGCTGCCTACTAGCTGCTACTGTATTTTGCATTACTGTATTTTGTTCCAATACTCAGCGATTATTGCGTTGTATTTGGCTGATGGCGAGCAAACCAGGGGTGCAGCTATGGCAAGGGACCGAGGAGCTTGGACCCCCTCCTTCGGCCTGGGCTTCTGTTTTTCGCCGTAAATGACTCCCGACAGAAAGTTGACACTAGCTTATTCTGTGAGCAGGGATATGTTTGGTTAACATAAACCTCACATCAGTGTTGTGTCGCAAATGCTCACCTGTCTGTAGGCACTGTCGACGAAGCGCGGCCATCTCGAAGCCCGGCCCGAAGCCCATGCTAACAGAGCTCGTCTGGCTCTGACGCGCGTGATGATGGAGCTCTGCTGACTGTGATGTGTACCGTGCAGAAGCGCCAGGAGAGCCGACTGCGGACCCAGCTGCAGGAGTCCCAGACCAAGCTGGCGTCGCCCAGCCGGTTCCCGCCGGTGGGCGGCGGCCGCCAGCAGCCCCCTCTCGGCGGCGGCTTCAAGCTGGCGCCGATCAGTGTGCCCGACAGCACATAGAGGGCGCTGGGAGGCTGCGGTTCGCCAGCTGGCGCGGCAGTGCGTCTCGCTTGGATTTGCGACGCCGCTGGCGCAGTGGGCCGGCATGGCGTCGGTCGTGCGCGTCTGGTCGGTCAAATTGTCTGCGGATAGAAATTACAGGCAGCCGCTGGAGTCCTGGCCGCGCTTGGGACGCGGGCGGCCCCTCGATCTCTGTCAATCACGCGATATGAAGGGCGCGTGTCGCTGGTATGGACCGTCCGTCCGTGTGATGTTGAACGAGGCAGCCGAGCCGATCCGGGCGCCGTGCTGGGCTTTCAATAACCAGTTTGGTTTGTGTGTTTGTAAGACGTCTGATAAGGATCCAGGGGTGATATGGCTTGCACGTACCGTGGTCTGTAGTTCGATTATGTCAAATTGTGTCCACTGTCGTGGTGGTGAACGATACATACGAGTAGTTGTAGGCGTGGTGAGGCAGGCAACGTTTGGAAGATTTTTGATGACCAGAATTGACGTTTTATAATAAGCATCTGTACACTTTATGGCTATTTTTGTCAGAAAAGGATGGTGGGTGGAATCCATGAAAACGGTTAAAATTGCATTTTGTACGGACGAAATTTGATGGTTCGTGGCACTAGACATTGGCACAGGCATTGTTCTATGGAGGACACATCCAGAAAACTGGCTTTTCCATCCTCAAGCCAGCACAAGCCAAGGCATGTAAGATCATTTTGGTTGTGGTTTTCATCACTTCATGTCGCATTTTAAAACACCGGCGAGAAAATGACTCATTGGGCCAACCCGCTCCCGCAAGCCACACCGCGTTTAAGGCACCCGTACTGACGTTGCTGACTAAGAGGCATGAGCAGGCTCATTTAAGCAGGAGGTGCACTTCCAAAAGTGATGGGTTTACCTAGAGTATCGCGTCAGCACCTGCAGTCGTTTTTTCTTCTTTTTTAGATGACCAGTTGAGCTCAGGCGGCATGGAAGGGGTGTGTCGAGTGGTCACATAGCGTTCATCCCTTCACAATTCTCGCTGCAACATTATTAATTTTTTGCGGCCTGCATATCTGGACATCGCAGCCTCTTCCCCAAACGTGCACAGCACCATAGTAGGAGAAAAAGCCCGTATATTTGAGCGGTGGTTTCAGCTCACGGGAAGTCTGCTTCAAAGCATGCGCGGGCCTATGAGAACATGACTGTAGAGCCGTGGCGTCGTAACGTGATGTTCACACGGGAAAGCCAGGCCCAGTGTTTGAGGCTCGGTGGTAGCGGCTGGCGAGTGCTCGCCGAAAGGCATGGTGATGTTTGGACTCCCCTTTGGGATGACTTAAAAAGACAAGTGAGGTCTCTTCGAAATCATTGTTGGCTATTTTGTTTGAGAATCACGCGACGGCAGTAGCCGACGTGTTTTCTATGCACATCTTTAGGCATTCGCTACGACTAGGGATTTTAGTCAGTAAACGGGATGTCATCCGCATATAAGGTGGCTGAACCGTGAGTAATGTGAGACCGACAGTTGTTTGTAAAGATGATAAAGAGCACGGGTCCCATCACCGCCCCTTGTACAACATCGTGAGCCGCCGTCAAATTGAGAAAAGCCTCAGTGTGTTGGCGGTGTCAGCAGCCACCAATGAAGCTACCCGCGCTTCATTAGCCTTGCGGATGGCGTGGAAAACGGCACCCAACATTGCAGGCTTTGCGGAACTGCCTGGGCGAAAACAGCACAGCAACGACCATAACATGTGGTTCTGTTGTGAAAACTTCGTTGTTGGAGACAGGAATCGCTCACACGACTTTCCCGGTACCGTCAGAGTGGCCGCGCATTTTGCGCAAAGAGTTTAGTGACAGCGGCCATACCGGCTGCCCTCGATATTCCATTCGCCAAATGACCTCGAAAGAGCTCCGGCAGCGTCACCGAGGTCATTTGGAACGCGTTTGCGCAGACACGAGGCGGTCTCAATGTCTTTCTATCGCTGGCAACAGTACCCAGGGTCTCGGTCGAAGCGGGGACTGCTGGGGCGAAACGAGCATTCAACCGTATGTCCAATGGCATGCCTTCACGGTCGAGCACTTAACCGCAATGGCTGAAGCGCACGACACCCGAGGTGACGTAAGAGACGGTGTGATCCGGGTCCGAACAGTGGATAATTCGCTCAAACTACGTTGAATGGGATTAAAGTGACAGTTGTAGATCCAAGCACTGAAGCTAGGGTAACGAAGGGTTATCACCATTGACCTACGAAGAGGTATAAAAAAGGTATATATATATATATATATATATATATATATATATATATATATATATATATATATATATATATATACATATATACATATATACATATATATATATATATACATATATATATATGTATATATATACATATATATACATATATATATATACATATATATATATATATATATATATATATATATAATCATGCCCATAAATTTTGCTACGGCTTGCTTTGCTTTCTTCTAGGAGACGTCATGAAATTATTCACCCTAAATAACAAGCTGCATAAACGGCGTGAGGATGACACATTGACTTGCATTGACTGGTCTCGTTAGCATGCGTTGGCTGGTCTTGGATTGAACCTATTTTCTAATTGATTTCCAACACTTAAACTATGTGGCGTGAAAATAGTTACTGAAAGTTTTTTCCTTTAAATTTGCAGCTAATCCTTTTTGTCCCGAACTTGATCGGTGCAGATCATTCATACAAAGAAACATCTTCCCACCTCTAATCATAAATACTTACATAAAAGGTTGCATGGATGCTAAATATTCAGATGCGGGCTATATGTGAACAACTGGCGGTTCATGGGGTCCATAAGGCTAGAAAAATACTTGGTGTTGCCCAGTTTTGGAAAGCAGACGGTAGAAATTAAAAAGAAGCCCGCAAATCTTCAGCAAGGTTTTTACCTTTTTCTGGCTTCAAGAATCAAATTGGTATTTTTTTGCTGTTGAATATGTCCTCCATTTGAAAGACAAGCTTCCCAAATGTTCTGTCTCTACTGTCATTTGCAAATGTCGTTTTCCTTTGTGTAGAACATCTTACGTGGATACACCTTGCCTAGTTTGCACTGCAGAGTACAGAAGCATTTGGGAAGGTCTGACCGTACCGGCGGCAGTCTTTCTATCCTAGGCCTTTCGCCCATCGGAGACCATTCATTCGGGTAGTATTTTTCACACGGCGTCTAAAACATGTTTTGTTGCGTGAATTTGCATTTTTCAAGCCATCCTGTTTGCGCGTGAGTGCGTAATCAAAAGAGGGATACTCGCTGTGAAATGGTATATATTCGCAGGCAAACTGAACAGCTCAGGTAAACCGGGCGAGTCACTGGCAACCCAACCATATCGGTCCTCTGATAAAACGCGCCCGTTCATCAATCGAAATCAACGCTTTACTTGCTTGCGTCGCAGATGTTATCATTCAGCCATACTCCGGCCGCTTATCATACGGGTTTAGTTTAGCGCGACACACAGTGTCACTCTTTGTCGAGCACACTTTGGGTAAAGTCGTTTCAGATCTAGCGGTATAAGACATGTGTGGTGTCAACTATGACCATTGCCACGTCTAGCAACGTCTGTTAAACGTGCTTTTGTTTCATTGTACCTTTGTGCCCCTGTGTCCTGATGATACGTAAAGTATCGAAATTTTGATTTACGTAAATGACCCGGACTGTTTTTCCTGTCATAATGTTTTAACTGCTTCTCGTATATATATACATCCAATGCTAGTATATACCAGCTATACTCACCTTGTACAATGGCATGTTAACCGCACGCAAACGTCCCAGATATTGTGAGAAATAATGTTGCGAATCGGTGTTTTCAAACTTGAAAGGATGGACCCGGTCCTTCAAAAATAATCGTGCCAAGCTGCCATTGGAGTTGAATTATAATCTGATTCAGACCAAAACCGAATCGATGTTGGAATCTGATTTGATTGCGTTCTGGTCAAGCGCAAGTCTGGTTATGACTGCCAGTTATACTGGCGAAACATCAATCAAGCTCTCTGATGCATTTTATCGGGAAGTTGAAATGTAAAAAAGTTTGCCACTTCGAAAAAATGTATATTACATATTTTTCACCAGTGTGCCGGATGTGCCTTGCGTCAGGCAGATCATTAGAAAGTGCATTGCTTGAACACGTCCATAAACACCTAGAGACAACTCTACACTGTCCTCAGAACGCATTCGTTGGCACCCTTTGCGCGACACCCCTACATTCCCTTTCTATGCACCCATTACCTAGGTACAGGTGAACGAGAGCGACTCTTGCTATCTACATTTATATTTTATCTTGATAGACTATGTCCTTGAGAGCATGACACGCTATCGCTGTCACACGCTGAGGAACAGTGATGCTTTCTACTGGCTGGCTCATCACAGTAATTCAGATAAAGCAAAGTTGCGTAAGAAGCGACAATGCAAGTCGCACGAACTGCGACTGAACACGGCACCTGTACATCACATGAAAGCCTTCCTGTGAGGTCACCTCTCTTCCAACCATACCTACAACGGTTGCGAATGAGGATCGTGAGATTCATGAAAACAGCAACTAGGATGGTCCCTCTAGCCAGATCCGTGACCGGGCTCGCTGAGGACCACACCGTTCGGGTCGTTCTGCCCGCCGGCGGAGCCGTGGCCGCGGACTCACAGCTGGAAGTCACGGCCGGGCCCGAACGGCGCCGGCCCGAGCGGCCGGCCCGAGTGCGCCGAGCGCTGCTGAGTACTCGGAGCAGCGGTCGGCCTCGCGCACCGCCGGCGGCATCAGCATGACCGGCTGCAGGTTCAGCGAGCGCCGCGAGCCGGCCAGCGAGGCCGCCTCCCACGGCAGCGAGGCGGCCGGTTCGGGCTGCGGCGGCGGCAGCACGCGCCGGTTGGCCAGCGCCAGCGCCAGCGCCGCCAGCACCAGAGCGTCGAGCGCGCCGATGGCGGCCAGCACTAGCGCCCAGCGCACGCCGCAGCCGCCAGGCCGGTACTTGTCGGCCGTGGGACCGCACACCTCCCGCAGCAGCGGCGCGTCCCAGCCGGCCGGGAACACGAGCACGGCCAGCAGCAGGCAGACGCCTGAGGGCGAGACAGCCTAGGTCACACAGTAGCCACCGGTCGGACATGCGAGGGTTCGGCAGATGACGTCGCACGTCCACCAACAGTCAGAAGCCTGAGGACAGGACGGGTCGAATCACACTGCTGCTACCAGACCGACGCCGGAGGGCATCACGTGTCATATCACACAGCTGTCAAAGGACAGACTTCTGTGGTTCGATCACCAGGTCACTGGTTGCCAGCAGATGGACGTCAGAGGTCAGGTCAGGTAACACGGCTACCTGCAGGCGAGCGCCTGAGGTCACCTCACGTCGCATGGCTGCCTACACACAGGCTGCGGAGATCAGTTTACATGGTCAACCCCACACGCATGGGACTAACCCGCGCCGGCCGTAGGGGGGGAGGAAAAGTTGACTTTCCCCTGCGGTTCCTTCGAGCGCAGGTCAGAAATGTACTCTCGCAGCTATACGAAGCTTCCAGTATCTGTTCTTCTATCAATTTGACATCCGTAATGCAACGTTGAAGTTTTGATCTACCAAGATTGGGGACCTAAGTGAGGTCAGAGGTCAAGCTATAAAAAAATCGATCACGCTTTTCTGTGGGTCATTTGCCTATATCCAAAGTTAGTATGGCAATAGAACGTGACAATACCTATCGTTTGCATATTTCAGATTTTTTCGGAAATTGCGAGATCATTGACCTGAATTCAGACCAATTGTTGCACATTTTTCGTAAATAACGAAATTTTGTACTATTTCTGTGCAGTTTTGGCGCTGTAAAGGAAGGAAAGAGTGCTCACATACATCCGCAACCATCATGTGACCACAGAGCACATGACCTTGGCCCAGGTCATGACCTATCTCTATGGGTACCCCCTGTAAAACGCACGCTGAGCTCAAAATAGGCAGTTTGTAGGTAGTTTTAGCCGCGGAATTCGAATACTCAGCTAACAACGCGTTGATATAAAAGCATGATGCATTTTGAGGTCAAAACAGATCATTCAAGGTTATATGGTATCATCTGAGGTAAATGGCCTATGTTACCAGTAGCGCAGAGGGCAGATAACACGAGTGCGGCGCGTGTGACCACCTCAATGTGGTGTTTATGAAGCTGATGACGTCTTATTCATGTACTAACGCACTTGTTCTCAGTTTGTCACGAACACATTGCCAATCGTCGAAGGGACTGTATATAAGGTAGGTAACGGCTTTTTGACCTGGAGTACCTGTAGATGCCCAAAAGACTATTTCTGACCACAAAAAGCATTGAATTGGCCAGATGCACCTGGTTAGAACTTAAAATTGTTTAGTTGGGTGGTTTATGAATTTGGTCTAAGGCGATCTCAGATAACCTCTAGGCCACCATAAAGTTATGTTTTTTTGTGTCTGAAATACTTTCGTCCCACAGTTGCACCTAACCAAGCAAACTTAGTCACAAGCACATTGTTAAGAAAACTATCGTTCTTGTAGTCCACTGGTGAACCAATTTTGAACGGTGAACCTGACCTGATCCAAGTGGGGGTACAGAAATGGTCCCAATGAACTCCCTCCGGTCTTAGCGCTTATCTCCCTGCTGTCAATAATCGTCCAACGTGTTAACATAGGTTTTAACCGCATCCATCAGAACAACCATTTTTGACCTTGCGTGACCTCTAGTGACCTCACGTTTGACCTAAAGTCAAAATTTTTGGATGCATTCTTCATGATTCGGCAAGACTTTATAACGGCCTCTGTTTTTCTCATACGGCGTTTGGAAGTTGGAGATCACAGGGGGGTCAACTTCCCCCGGCCGCGCACGGTTGTCTCAGACCCCCTGCCGGGCGCGGGTTAATGGGGGCAGAGGTCAGATCACGACAGAAAACAACAGCGAGAGGTCGCCACTTCATCAGGGCGTGGAATGCCGCGTCGATTACTGTCGTCGCCTACGGTCACGGTCGACAGCCGCCATTGGCGGGTGCTGGCGGCTCGCGCGCGGGAGAATTTCTTAGGACGACGATACACGAAGCCGCGGCCAAAGAATGTGAAGATAGCTTGGGTTGTCACTGTGTGTGACGACCCTACAGTCAGGGGCTCATGGCAGGCATACTGATGACGCGATTGTGAGTGTGACCAGTTTTACTCGAGGGACGGTTCGGAAGTGTTGCAGGGTGCGCTCCCCACGGGGAGCGGTGTTTGTCCTCCGAATTCTCCGCGGAAAACATATGCTCACGCAAGTATGTGACAGGACCAGATGTGTTCCTTCCAGAGCAACGAGCAATAAGCTGATCTGGCAGGGTTTTTGTGAGGCCGATGAGCATTCACCGCAGGCCAGGGAATCATGTGTTCTGGCCTTCAGTTGATGCCGAATTCGAAACCAGAAAGCAGAAAGCAGCCGCCAAAAGGCTTGCCAGCATGGCCGGCGCGGCACTCACGACCAGTGCGTCGGGTTCGGCAAGGTCAGTCGTCCAAAATGCTTCTATGAAAGCATATAAAAACTGAGATGGTAATCCACACCCCGCAAACACATCAGCAGCGCAATGGCCGCCAAACAAACAAATGCAATTGTGTTGTTACCTTCTTCGAATGCAGGTGTTAAATGATGATGTAATTAACTTACCTGACAGCAACTGCATCCAGGCGCAGAGGCGAAACACTGTGTTTGCATGAAGGAAGCAGAACATGATGAAGCAGATGATGGTGAGCAGCGCAACCACCACGGCGAGTCCGACGAAGACGGTGGCGGCGCGGAATGCCGGCGAGATGTTTGTAGAGAGATCCGAGAGACGACCAGCACAGGTCAGAGCGGGGTCTCCCTGGAGACAGGCCACACACAGAGCTGATGTGTCGGTGGGCAGGTCTGAGAGACGACCAGCACAGGTCAGAGCGGGAGCTCCCTGGAGACAGACCACGCACAGATCTGATGTGTCGGTGGGCAGGTTTGAGAGACGACCAGCACAGGTCAGATCGAGATCTCCCTGGGGACGGACCATACACAGAGCTGATGTGTCGGTGGGCAGATCTGAGAGACGACCAGCACAGGTCAGAGCGGGGTCTCCCTGGAGACAGACCACCCATCGTGCTAATAAGGGTTATTGTTATAGCGTTGCGAGAGGCACCCAATGTATTTCATGACTGGCATGGTTGATAACTTTTACTGATGCCATCCAACTCATAAAATGCAGTGACAAAGACCAAAAACGTCGAAGATATCTGGAAGATAAGTATTGCGTATGGAAGCAAAATTAGTGCGACAGCAGCTAGTTTTAGGCAACCTCGCATTAAGGTATTGAGCGTTCAAAGGTGACAAAAGCAATGCCCAAAATTGGGTTAACACTCTTGCCAGCCCGTGAGCCAAACATTGTATTTCAGCTGGTAGTGGCGCGACACATTCAGTGTACGTTGGCACGTTGCATCGAAATCCAAAAATTCAGCTGGCTGCTATGGGGGTTGAAGGGCCGGCCAATACAGATTCGATGCTTCACAGCGTGTGCAATCTGCGGAGTCCAGATTAGGTGATACATCATTGCAGTGCTTGTCCTCGTGATCAGGGTATCAGAGATATTTAGGTCACGTTTCAGCGCGGTGGAAGATGGCTCTGAAGTGAGACCCGAGCATTGGGTTACTGTAGACAGGGGAGCCTATAGAAATGATACGGCCTGTGGATGAATATGCAAGGACATTGGCTAACGCCATATGGACAGGGGTGTCACTTTCTAAAATCGGTTGGGGGGGCCGAAAAGGTTGAACTAAAAACCCGGTTTCTTTCCGGGTTGCTGCCCCTTCGATTTGCACCTTCGATTCAAAAATAAAAAATTGAATATTTTGTAGGTTCAAAGCTGCTGTATAAAAGGAGGAAAGGAAGAAAACCCCACAATTTGAAGTTAATATGATCTGCCTCTTTATGAAAAGCTTAGAATGGGATATAATCAAGAGAAAGAAACAGCCGAGTAAATCTAAGGCCAGGATCACTGATGACTCCCGCTGCCACTGGTCGTGTGACATTACTACGGCCACAATTATGCGACAAATACACTTGCCGCTGTTTGAGACAACATGCGATAACTTGTAGTTGAATAACCCTGTATTTCTCAAGCCTGCCACGTATCGCAAAATATTGTTCATTATCCCGGTACCGGCGATACTACATGCAAAACTTGTCAAACATTCGCAGGCTGGCTTAACACATGGGGGAGCTAGCATGACAAAAAACATTAGCTACCTGCAGGATACCATTTAGCTCAAAATTAGCATGATGCTGACAGCGATGCATTCAGGTGCCTATTACGTGGTATACCAACTATTAAGATAACGGCTCTATATTTGATTGGTCCAGTATTCCCTCTTTGTCCATACGCATTACGGGGACTCAGAGGAGTATTGGAGGGGGAGCTCAACTCAGCATTGGGTGGCGGGCTTAAGCCCCCTCCCCAAAAGTATAAAAAGTGACGTCACTGCATATGGAGCTTGACCGGGCATCATTTCAGAGATTTAATGCAAACATAATTTTGCAAGGCATCAAAAATGTCACTGAGCGAGAGTGAAAGCTATCGTAGCTGGTTAGCCGACTGAACGTGCGTTACATGGCTCGAGAGTGGCAAATACCTTGACCATGCCACTCACTGTTCTTTTCCGATTCAGCGAAGCACAACACTGTGATAGCCCACGAATTCTAGGAAGTGCTCTTTGACCCATGCTAAATCGACGATCCCGAGTGTCTGCAAAGTCGTCCATTTTTCCGGTGGTTGCATCGGACCACGCAAGAGCCACTCAACCTGACCAATCTGTGTCGTCACAAAGACGAGTTTGGCCTTGATGCCGAGTGAAACGTTCTTGCTGTCGCACGCGGGGATAATGCCTGTGATGGCCTCGGTGAGTCAGTGAAGCGGGCAGCTGCTCGTGGGCAGTCTTCAGCGCACAATTTCAGATCATTCCTGACACCTGTTGACCAGTCCAATTTCTGCAAAGGTAACCTGGCTGAGAAAAGAACTGCTTCTTCGTATCGGAGACCTATGTGTATACCATTGAAGGTTCTGTGAAGACGCCGTTTGTTAATGCTGTCAAACGTCTGCTGTTCGGCAGTGATCAGTGGTGCACAACAGATAAATACGTTTGTGGCGGTTTATTAAGGTAGATGCGAGCTTGAGTTGTGTGCTTTGAGTTGTCATACCAAGACGCAGTACACTAGTGAGTAGAAAATAATGGCATGCATGCTTTTCTTGCCAAAGGAACCATGGTACCAGAACCCATGGTCTCTACTTCTCATATGGTACTCATACCGGAAATCTAGCGGCCTCTGTACCATGCGTCACCTGTTAATTTGAACAATTTGTGGGATCAGTGCGGCATGTGTCGTCAATATTTGTTGTGCATTCTGTCTCAAAAACGAGAACAGGGAAACCGTCGCCAAAGTGATGTCTCAGATGGTTGTAAGCTTTAAAATAAAATAGCATGATGTTTGACAGGACACTCCCGCTGCTGAACCGGAAATGGGTCTGATTCTGCTATTTTGTAATGCATGCTTCCATAGAAGAAACGTGCAGTGCTTTATGGTTTTGTGTTCTGACAATTTCTATTCAGTCCTTTTGCATGCCGACTGTGCATGGAATGCAACTGAATGTTCGTAAATTCTGCACATGCGTTCATCAAGAGCATAAAACGTTGACAAGACTCAGACCGATGCCTCAGAGTGTTGTCCAACGGAAGATGCAAAAACGGGAGCGGGAAAAGGCAGGTTCTGCGTGGCCGTGCCCTCACGGAAAGTGTTAAGTTAAAGGTTCAGGATACAATATATCATATATTAGTCGTTTTTGTGTTAGATTACGGTGCAAAACTTTAGGAAAAGGAAAGGTTTGCAGCGCACATATTCTAACGACACAGCTTGACCAGCGATTTTCGGCTAGAAATGTCCTGCGAGCATTCAAAAACGTCTTTGCGTATAGCGTACAGTTTTACAAAATCCGGTTGGCTAGCTACAAGTAAAATGATGCTTATATTGGCAGAAATGATGTCAGCACTCTTCTTGCCGAAACTTTTCCTTCGACATGTATTCAAAACATTCAGTGGCGTGTCTGACGAAGACGCAAAGCTCAAATATCAACTCAAATTTTCTGACCGCCTGCCTATGAATGATGCTTCGAACTAAATGATATCAAAAGCTCGCTTTGCTCTACACAGCGCCGATGTAAACGATAATGACGCAGCTAACATCAAACACCCCGGACCGATCGATACGTGCTGATTGCCAGGCCTGGTGTTCTCCTAGAGTTCGGGTTAACTAAAGGCATGTACTGAACGAATGGCTAGGAAGAGTTTCGTTCTGTATCAGAAATGTATTCTCAGTTTGGAGCATGTGGCTCCGCCGTTGAATGCCACTGAAATCGCATGAGCACAGTTGTTTTCACGTCACAGAGTTTACTAATACTAAAAGTTCATGGGAACATTTTAAAATTTTTAAACTTTTCATCAAGTCATATCGGCTATTGCCACTTCCAACAATGAAAGCTCTCATCTGACACACATCTGTAAAAGAAAGAAACTGAAAAATGCGGATTTTTATCGCTATGTATAGTGATATCCAAAAGTCACGTCAGCCAATACAAGCATAACATAGCTAAGTTTTGTAGGACTGATATAGACATGCAAGCAAATGCCACTTCGATAATGACAAATTTTCGCGTAAAAATGACCGTTCAGGGTGAAATCGAGTTGATAATTTGACAGATGAGCCCTGCTGGTTGCGGTCATATAAGATGCATTTGATTTGTTTACCCTGTCTGAACAGTATTCTGTACTCTATTTCGGTCTGCAAGCCTATGACTCCAAAATGGCATTGTCCCCAGAGAGTGGTTCCTTGGCCCGAACAAACTATGAAAGTGACAGATAAAATAAGACCCCTAGAATTTCACTCCCGTGCAAAACCAGACATCAGACTGCTTGTTTCACTGTGTTGTTGACGGCTGTACTTGAAATCGCTCTACGCAGTCATCTTGTTTGCCCCCAGCGGTGAAAACAGAGCACATAATGCAGGGCAGTTTCGCGTCCATCTCACTAGAAGTAGGCAATCATCAGATATAACAGGGCTTTCTTGTCATATCTATATACGTCAAGCACATCGAAATGAGGACGGCAGATAGCGAAAGGGAATTTTCCCAAGACCTCCAATTTCTCACTAGCATTATAGGTTAATTATCATGTTGAGATACGGTCGAGCTCAAATCGGGTCATCTGTATTTGTTCTGCTAATTTGTGCACATTCAGTCTCCGGATGGTCTCTGTCGGTTTGGTCTGTTAGAGTGTGGGCGTGAGAGCCACAATGCTGTAATCGTAAGTGTGCACTGCTGTTGTATGACCGAAGTCAGCCAGCCGCCCAGCCAGTCCCATTCGAATGCCAGCGTAGGCCAGTGACCAATAATCACACTTCGTGGCAAAATGTCGCACGCTGGTGAGAAAGCGACACTGGCAAGTCCAAAGGCCAATGAAAACAAAACAAGAACGCGTACATACAAATCTTGAGGTAACTGCCAACTTTAGATAGTAACTGACTTTGTAGTAACTTTTGGAATCAACAAATCATGGACAGGTAACAACTCTTCTGTTTTTGTGTTTTGTTTTTTTTTGTTTAACCAAATCGATATCTTACCCAACTCGCCTGACTGCAAACTTGGAGAAAAAGGTCAGCCTTCATCATTGACTTATTCAGTGACGTTTAATAGTCATCTTGAGATCAATTAGTGCAATCTGTATCCGAAAAGTTAACCCAACAAAAACGCAAGCAATCCAGAACGCGTCGTTAGTGAATGCCCTGCTCAAATACGGTTTGGCCCGATCTTGCTCACTCAAAACGTACCTTGATCATTGACCTCACGTTACCAGGATCCCTAAAGATCAGAGTACTTATGCAATTTATGTAGGATAAGGTTCTAAAGTATCAGGCCCGGCGCGGCTGTACCGCAGAATTGTGCAGCACATAAAACCCTCCACATTCCTGCCTGGCTGAAGGGAGGAGGCAACATTATCCGTTGAACTGAGCTGCACGAGTAGAGGTGGGTTTAGGACGCACGCAGCAGGCTACGCTTAGCAGGCGCTCTGAACTAAAAATGCATGCACGCAAACCATTCGGAATGTTTCTTATTCTTACGGAATCAGGGGATGGTCGGAGCCGTTCAGCAGCTATTCAAAAGTTGTGACGTGTCCGGATGTTTACCCACCACCATGAGTGTGAAGGATACTAGTGGAACTGAATCAACTGCAAGTTTGTATGCTTAGTCATGTTCATAGTGTATGACAGGGCTTGCCTTACGTCACCTTTTACATGCGACCGGGCATGCCCCAATCATAGGAGAGTTGTCACAGAGTATATTCATAATTATGTTTACGCTGGTGTTCACAAAGCAGTGATGATGCTGCTGAAGTTTTTCAGTCTATGATGACAAATTTGGACATAATAAGCTTCCTGCAATGCTGCAGTGAGTCTACACGATAACCACCTTTATGGCAACACACCAGTTTCTTCACGGATGTGTTAATCCGCTTCTCACCATGCGGTATTTTGAGTGTAAGCGGCTTTCAAGCAAACTTAACTGATAATTTCAATCAAAGTACACTTGTCAAGATGTTGCGTGCCATGCTTGGGAATTTCGACCGGGATGGTGCAGTGGACAAGCAGTACGGAACCACGAAACACGCACGAACGACAGACATGATATCATGCTTGACAGAATCGTGTTTGAAAGAATCTGGTTGCAAGATCATCATCAACAAAGACCCAACCCACGAAATGCCTTGCTGAGTTTGCTTGTCTGATATATCTATCTTCACGGTGGCTTTTTTGTTCTCTGATTATGCCCAAGATTACAGCGTACCTAAAGTACATTACCAATTAGCATCATCACGTGCCATTTCGCTTTTACCTGCTAAACGAGTCCAGAGATGAAGCAAGTCACCAGCGAAACTGACGTGATGTAATGGCGTATGTCCGCCATGGAATGCTCGCTGGGCTTGGCGAGCTATTACATGCCACGGCGGAACCGTGCTGACCTTGTAACAATTCCCTCACAGAGGGGGACAGCCCGTCGGGGCGCGGCCTGACCGGTGTGGGAGTGTCAGGGGACGGAACGGTGGCATGCCAGGGACGGAACGACGGCATGTCAGGGACGGAACAATGGCATTCAGGGACGGAACGGTGGCTTGTCTGGGGATGGAACGATGACATGTCAGGGACGGAACGGTGGCATGTCAGAGGACGGAACGATGGCTTGTCGGGGGATGAAACGATGGCATGTCAGGAACGAAACGGTGACATGCCAGGGGACGGAACGGTGGCATTTCAGGGACGGAGCGGTGGCATGTCTGGGATGGAACGGTGGCACATCTAGACACGGGACGGTGGCATGTCTTGGACGGAACGAGAGTATGTCAGGGGACGGAACGGCGGCATATCAGAGGACGGAGCGGTGGCATGCCATGGGACGGAACGGCGGGAGTGTCGGGGAGCGGTACGTTGGCATGTCAGGCAACGGAACGGCGAGTGTGTCAGGGTACATCAGTGGTGTCAGCGAACGGAACTAGAGGAACATCGTGGCATGAACACTGAGAGGCAGGGCGCCGGACCGTCCGAGGACGGCAGGGAGGCAGGCGTCGCGCTTGAGCCGGCGCCTCAGCGGACATCAACACTGGGCCGCGCGTGAAGTGATATAGCGGCGTACAGGTCACGATCGCCGGGCCGCTCCGCGCAGGTCAAGGCCGCTTGACAACGTCTCACACCCACCTGTAGCGAAGCGGTGTGGGCGCAGTGCCGCCAGAGGCCGAAGTAGCCGGATCCGGGCGAGTCAGCCGTGTCGCCCACCCACTGCGGCTGCACGAACACGGCCACGCTAATGATGGCGTAGCAGACGGCGAACACGCCCCACAGCACGCCGATCGCCCTGCTGTAGCGCACGTAGTTGACGGTGTAGTACTCGCGCGACTCGATGTACTGAACGCGAGCGCCGGCCATGGCGGCGCGGCTTGCTCGCTGCGCCGGCCAGGCCCATCTGAGCCCGACCCGGCGCTGGTGAAAGGGTCGGCACTCGCCGCGGCCCCCACCGTCAAGCCGGCTTTCCTTGGAGCCGCCAGGAGAGCGGGCCCGCGCCCGCCGAGGTCCCTCGCTAATCGGGCATACCTGTCGGTGAGGGTTCGATTATCTGGCACGGGGAGATGGTGTGAGTTAAACGTCAAGTGGTCAGGGACGGCGCAACAGGGGAGTGGGGGGGGGGGGGGGGGGGGCGGGAGGGCAGAGAACTGATTTCCCCTTCCCGTCGAGTTTAGGTAGATCCGTTTCAGCCATGCCAAAAGTTGGATTTGATGGTTACACATCTGAAATTACCATTCATTTCGAGTAGCTCTCTATCACTGCAATAAGGGTAACTGATTGAGTGAAGGAGATCCTTTTCTAGATCATGGGACCAAATTTTCTGGATAAGGATGTCCATTCATGAGTACGGTAGCCCTACCCTGATCGGCAACGCTTATGAAAGAACGTTCGTTACAAAACGTGCGCTCCTGTGGTTCAGCCTCATTTTTTGTGAGAACCTGGAAATCTTACTGTTCTAACTGAGAAAACCTTATGTGTTTGAACTGCAACGGTGTCTCTTCGCAGCATTGTAGCACACCATAGATGATAAGATTTAGCCATCAGGGAGAGGCCGATTTTTGGCGCTCAGTGTTCAGCAGAAGTTAGTCATCACTCCTTGTGTTTATCACCGGCCAGATCAGTTCTGGATCGCACTTCAATCCGTTCCCTTGTTCATGATCGATTAATGCGATGAGAGACTTTTCAGACTATTAAAAAAGTGAAGCTTAATTGAATGCCTTCACAATGAAATGATTGCTCTTCAATTGCATCAACATTAAATAGTTAAGCCTAAGTGAATTGTACAAAATGAAGATATTTATAGGTGTTTGTTACTTCAGTCCATGCCTTAGGTCACATATCTTTAGGATAATAGCAGACTTGATTGCGTTGTGAGTAGGTCAATGGTGTTGAATGCCGGCGGATCCATTACTGTTCGCATCGGTCTCATGTGGAGCAAGGTAGGCTTTGCGGATTGTTTAACTTAAGGGTCATTTATTGTGGGCAAAGTTTAGGTGTGCGCACTGCATGCCTATGAACTGCGATTCGTTGCATTAGCTACGCTGTTACGTTACTTCAGCCTTAATATAACAATGTTGGCGCGCGAACGATGACTGTGTATAAGTAGCACAAGAGCAGAACCAGAACCAGAGATATCCCCTAAATCCTGAACTTTATACACTACAGTGAAGTATGAGGGAAGTGCACTTTAACTGATTGTTTTGAGGAGTACAGGTGCGAAAAGAGCTGCACGGTGCAGGCCATGCGTTCCGAGCCGGGAAGGGGATTTTCCCCAAGGAGGGTATTAAGATGTATCCAGTAACCTCTAAGTCAAGAAAGACGGCCGCCCAGGCAACGCCAACAGGTCGGCACTAACTGCAGAGTGATGTTGCCATTTGCAAAGCTGTGCACCATGTACAGAAAGCTTAAGTCATCTGGCAAGATAGTTAAGCCCTGCGGTGATATTCCCCAGCTTTGAGTTTTCACTCCGGAGCAAGATGTCGAGTTTCATTGTGTTAATGAATTTGTGCCACCCGATTGTGTCGCTGTAGAAAATTACTTCAGGCATATATCAGGCGCTTATATGATGCGGTTCACAAAGTATTTTTCACGCGAACATCAGTACACAGAAACTGACAATCGCACAGTTTCTGACTATCGCATCGTAGGTTGTGCTACAGAAGCGTTTTTGTTCCGTCGCCATGTACGTTTCGCCTTGTTACGTCTTTGAATTCGGTGCCAAGTGTCCAAATTATGAAGTGCTGCAGATGTTAACACGCGGTCGGGTGGGGAGTCAAATTGACCCCCCCCCCCAAAGATTTTTTCAGAATGATTTCCGAACGGCGCGGCGCAGCTGCGCCAAATTTTGCATGCTGTAGGTAGTTGCATAGCGGATCGTCTGGCGTCAAAAATGCACTAGGGAAATGTTCAATCGGATAGCGGAGTAGTTAGACGAGGCTATGCAGTCTCTAAGATACTTTGTTAGGCAACACAGCAACTGAATGCAGAAATTAGATTGATCTAGGGTCAGGTATAAAGGTCAGTCCAAGGCCAAAACCAACCTGCTTTATTACTCTATATCTTGCAATATGAGGTAGTTTCCGGAGCTCATTTTAAATTTATTTATATCAGGAACCATATTATAGGCCCCGTGGACTTTTTAAACGACAGGATAGGTCACTGACCTAAAATGATCAAGGTCAACAGTTTTCTAGGAACATGCTGCCTAGTGTAACTTTTGTCGCTTATTCAAATGCAGAACTTAGAGCAGTTTTGCATAATTTTTACCATCATGACCTTCAAAAGGTCAAGCAGGGTCACTGACCTTAAATGAGCATGCAAACTTTTGCTTAGAACAGTTATCTAGGTTCTAGGAACCCCTTGGAGACCACCCTGGAACTTGACTTTGTTTGGCCTTATTTGGCTCGAAGATCATGACCTAGGAACTTCAAACTTTGACCAAATTGAGTTCACGCACAGGTCAATACACCTTGTGAATTTTTTGTCTCTAGCTTTCTTAGTTCTTGAGATCTCAGGGGGGTCAAATTGACCCCCACCAGAGCGGAGGGTATCTAACCGGCCACCCGGCGCGTGTTAGATTACGAAAATAGACATGGCGTAGAACGAGCTTTTCGGAGCAACACATACGGGCTATCTTTTTAGTTCTTTTTGTTATATTTTTGTTTTGTTATGTTTTTGTTAGTTGTCTTTTTGGGGCATATATATATATATATATATATATATATATATATATATATATATATATATATATATATATATATAAAAGAGAGGTTGAACACCAGAGAGGAAATCTAAAGAGATGTTCGATATGTATTGCGTCGTTACCGAGTGAACCAGAGAGCGTGGGAGACGGTGCCGTCGGGCCGAAGTACCGCAGACATTTAACATGTCATGCGGGACAAAAACGAGCGCATGACGCACGGTAAGTTACGTTGATTACGTAACGTTGGCGGCACTAAGGCGGTCCACCGAGAGACAAAATGCATGTATCGGTGGCTCAAGTACGGCCGATCCGCAAGCGGCTTAGGATGACTTCCTTTCGCCTTGACTTCCGATAAGATGCTTGTCATTCCTAAATGACGCGCTTAACTTTTTCAGTTTGTTGTTGCCCACCGCAACCATGTGCTCTGTCGCCGTCCTCGTAGAAAGAACGATATGACTGGGTTGTAAGTCCGCGGCGGGTATGGGATATGCTCGTGTGCATGGACAAAGCGTTGCACGCTTTGTGGTGGCGTCGGCAAGCTCATTTCTAGCGATTCCGACGTGGCTTGGAATGCAGCACATCACTGCGATATTCCTGGACTGGTTTAGCGAGTCGCGACGGAATAGAATGTCCTGTATAAGAGGATATAAGGTATTAGAACGTCTCAATGCAAAAAAAACTACTTAGTGGGTCTGATAAAATTAGGTGGAATGTATCCTTGTCCGGCTGTACAAGGCAGAGTGCTTTGACAGCAAACCCTGCCGTATATATATATATATATATATATATATATATATATATATATATGTATATATATATGCATATATATACATGCATATATATATATATATATATATATATATATATATATATATATGTATAAACGAATCGTTGTTAGTGTGAATGACTGTGTGTCTTGGCCGCACACAAAGACGCAAACAATGCCCGCATTCATTTTAGAACCGTCCGTATATGTGCTTTTGAATCCTCGATGCAGCTTCGATACGCTGTAAGGCTGTAGCTCTAGCAACACGCAAAATCGTGAATTATTCTCGGGTATGCGCCAAAGACGCGTCGATAGCTGGCGATGCTAGCGTCCACGGAGGGGCTGGCAGGCTGGATGGACGCATCGTATTCCGAAGACTCAATCCACTCTCACGAAGGACATCGTGAACACGCTGGCAAAAAGGCGCGGGATTCGCGTTCGCCCACGTGGAAAACGTTACATGCATGAAGCATTAAGACACAGCACTACGTGTAGGGTGATAAGGCATTGTGCCAGTTTGATTGCGTACCGCCACCCTAACAACTTCCTTCGGGTGGCTAGCGACGGTTCACTGTCTTCAACGGGCAAGCCAGCCACCAAAGATGTCTGAAAAACAGTAATGATGACTCCCAGCCCATCATGATGCACCGTAGCTAAGGTATTTTTAACAGTATCTGAGGGATCACCATGAGAATGACAGCCACAATCCAGTTTGAAGCGTGTCAGAGGGCGGTACAAAAATAAAACCGTTTTCTGTCAGCCCTGTCAGATGTTCGCGCGACGTATTTTAGGCTGTTCAGAGATCTTTAATACCTTTTCCTGAGAGTTTTGACATGCTGGCGGTAATTCAGATGGCTATCAAACTGAATCGTGAGAAAGCAAGTGCTTGGTTCGGGTGATACCAGCTGGCCGTATAGCTGAACTTGCATGTTGGAACTCTTCCGACGTCGATAAAAGTAACACCTGCTGTCTTTGCCTTTGAGATTAAAGTTCATTGAGTGTGCCTCAGCCCACCAGGCAACTGTCGGCCATCTGCAGCTGCCGCGCCATAGTCGTCGTTATTGGCGCCCGTGGTCAGGTGGCAAAATCGTTGACAGAGAGGGATTGGCTGATGGATTGCGGAAGCGTGGTGTAAATGCCACTGATCATGAACGCAAACAATCTAACGCTTAAACACTTCCCTGAGGTATTCTGTTCACCTGTTAAAACGAATCTGAAAAGTAATGACCGGATCTTAGGTGTTAAAAGACGTTTTGATAGATTGTTCTGTAAACAGATACAAATAGGGCCACAAATGCGGCGTTTAAAGAGCTTGGAAGTCCGTGACGCAAGATTGGCTCGTAGGCTATCTCAACATCGATACATATGTCACCTAAATGACGACGCTGTTTAAAGACGGCGCGTATAGCAGTGTCAAGTGCTGAAGGGTGGT